GCTCTCTCTCTCTCTCGCTCGCGCGCGCGCGCGCGCACACACACACGATGCGCAAAACTCCGCATTACCTCCTCTCCTAGGTTCACGAAACGGTTGTCCATAAAATGCATTGCTGTTCTGTTGTAAGTGATCTTAAAGATTCCTAAATGCATCTACTTTCGGAAGGCCAAATAAAGTGCTTTTGCTTTCGCACTTAAACACACAGCGTCTCCCTGACATGGTTGCTTCAACACTAACTGCGGTTACTGAAACCATGCCTTCTTTCTTTGCGTGCACATTTGGGCGCATTATGCAAATATTTCCACATAGTGAGGTAGATATGTGGGGGCGTGTTAGAACGAGCCGTTTTAGGGGGGCGTGGCAGAGTCTTAACTTTGATAAAGAATATCTCTTTGGTTTTGAGACTTTAGTCTTTGCAACTTCAGGGATCTTATCTATGCACAATCAGCTTGTAACACTCCAAAGAGATAGGAAAACTTGAAATCGCATCATATGACCCCTTTAAAGTTGCGATGAAACGGAAGTAGCAGCAGATCTTTACTTCCATATTCTGATGACGTCTTTCACCAGAAGGTCCTGTTACGACATTTTGATAAAAAATTCTGAAACATATGCACAGATGAATCGTTCACAATACGCTCTACAACATGCATTTAGAATATAGTGTGGATTTCATGACATCTTGAATTCTGTGATTGTTTGTAAGCCGCCCCAAAAACACCCCATATCCTGCAGCTTTACCGACCATCTGCCTGATACATGGCATCAGGGGGTTCTTGAGCTTGAGAGGAGGGTGAAGGGGGAAATCCTGAAATAAATGAATGTTGGGATTAATTTCCCATGATCTCTGGTGCACATGCTGGTCATTGTTATGAATCTTGGATTACTGTTCGTTTATTAATGACCCAGAGCAGATGATTAGTGGGACAGGGGTGCAGCAGACCCTCTGTGCTTGCTGTTGAATGGTTAATTGTTAGTGTCTTATAACAAGTCATTGCATCACCATGACAAAGGCTTCTGTTTACATTATGCTATGGAGCGTCTCCATTGGTTTTAAGTGCCGGTTTTGCCAGCATTGGTGTCCTGCACAAATAAAGGTTCTTTATTGACGTTAATGGTTCTCTGAAGAACTGATCACTGAAAGGTTCTTTGTGGAGCCAAAAATTGTTCTTCTATGGCATCACTGCAAAAACACCTTTTTGGAGCCTTTATTTTTAAGAGTGTGATGTAAATCAGTGAGATCTTTATAACAGCGCAGCAGATTCTGACACAAAATGTGAAGATGTGAGATGTTCTGGAGGCTTGTGAAGATCATTCCTCCGCTGAGGAACAGTGAAAGTAAAGCTTCTGGAAACAAACGCTCCTCAAAAGATCCTGAGGATCAGATTTGAGACTCTAAAACATGATTGATGGAGAATCAAGTAAAGCTGAGCTGCTTCAGTCCAGTAAGTGTTCATCTGGAGATATTACTGACGTTATTCTGACCTTTACTTGATCAAAATCAGTCAAGATTTGACACGAGAAGCTCCAGCTGAAGCTAGACGTTTGTAGGGTTGAAGTATGTTGACTGTTGAGGGCACTTACACATTTTCTGCTGCAGGTTGTTGGTCTCAAACACTCGCTGGTAGACGAGCGCTTGTTCAACCGGGTCATCTGGGATCAGACGGGTGCCTTGAGACTTAAACGCGCTCTAAAAAAAACAAAAACACACTCGTCATTCATCAGTCTGGGACGTGAGGCTCCACTTAAGAGTCTGGATCTAGTACTTTATTACAAAAAATCTATTATTAGTGGTGCTACGAAGCAAAGCATCACTATTACTATCTCACTTGTCTATTATTATTATTATTAGTAGTAGTAGAATGATGATATGGAGTATCATCATTAGCAGCTGCCAAGCCACTGCCTAACAACCAAACACAATACCCTAGCAACCATTTACTAAGACCTATATCTCTGCATCAGAACATCGTATAGACATGTGCCTTGGCTCTTTTGAATAAAGCTAGCAAACAGGATTTCCAACATGCTAGCACTGAATAGCTACATGCTAATAGCGATTAGCTAAGTGTTAGCTAGCATGCTAAAAATACAAAAAAAAAAATTCTCATATTTTCTTCAGAAAATGTACATGTCTAGTTATTACTACTCTTTCATGATAAACATGTTTTCAAAGTTACTTTGATATTTTTATTGACGCTTAAAGTAAACAATTTCCATGTGCAACTGAACTAAATCTTTCCACATCAAGCAATATAAATTCTAAATATATAACATCAGAATTGATAATAAATTAAGACTGGAACAGATTAAAATTAATATCTACTCTTAACTGGGATAAAATACCTGGGATAAAAACCTTACCTTTGCTAGTACAAAGTGATTATTTGTAACTCACTTATCAAAGTTTGATAGACGATACTTCTTTTATTTCCACTGTAATCCATTGGGCTGTTAATTATGGAAGCTTGTTTCTGACATAGAATAAAAAAAATGAATAAAGGTAATTGCGACTTTTTAATCTCGCAATTCTGAGTTTTTATTTCATGATTCTGAATTGTGTGAAAAAGTCAGAACTGTGAGATGAAGTGTAGCAATTACTTAAATTTTAAATGAATTTAAATGAAAATCGTATAAAAAATTTTTTTTTTTAATCTATGGTGGGAAAAAATATCTTTATGTATAACGGAGACCCTAAATAGACACCTTTGCTAGTACAAAGTGATTATTTGTAACTCACTTATCAAAGTTTGATAGACGATACAGACGATACTTTTTTTATTTCCACTGTAATCCATTGGGCTGTTAATTATGGAAGCTTGTTTCTGACATAGAATAAAAAAAATGAATAAAGGTAATTGCGACTTTTTAATCTCGCAATTCTGAGTTTTTATTTCATGATTCTGAATTGTGTGAAAAAGTCAGAATTGTGAGATGAAGTGTAGCAATTACTTAAATTTTAAATTAATTTAAATGAAAATCGTATAAAAAAATTTTTTTTAAAATCTATGGTGGGAAAAAATATCTTTATGTATAACGGAGACCCTAAATAGACATAGTAATGAAAAAATTAGACGAGTTAAAATTATATTTCAATGTTTTTACGTTCTTTCGCAAAACTGGTTTCACGAGAGATTTTGAATTCAGTCGTAAACCTTTTGCGTTTTTTTTCAAACATGCAAAAAGTATCTTTTTGAATATATGCAGAACCACTGAAATATTCCCTGTTCTTGATTACTTTGTTCGAAATAAAACACTTTCAGCAATAAGGACATAATTGCACATTTATTAAACATGTCACAACACAACATTTATTGGTACGCGACCTAACGTGTATGGAGGTCTTCTCGAATGACGCAAATCAGCTGACATGCGACTCATTTGCTTTCCCGTTAATGCTCAGCGTTTCTGTAAAGCAGATCATGACTGATGAACTGACTTTAGCTGGAGAAATAACTCTTTGTTATTCTCCTCTTGCATTATTGACAAACTATTTTCCTGTTTGACTCTGTAAAGCTGCTTTGACACGATCAGTATTGTATAAAGCGCTATACAAATAAAGGTGACTGATGGTTTAACTGACTGATAGTTACGCAATGCTTTACAAGTAGATTCGTTTGAATCTGCTCAGACCTGATTCACACGAACTTTCCCAGACTTTCCTCTTTACACGTTACAATATTAATGTGTCGGTATGTTAATAGAGCTTATTTCCGCCATGGAATATAAAACATTTAAAAAGTTAACTGCGACTTTTATATCAATTCGGACTTTGTTTTTCGCAATTCTGAGTTTACACCTCGTAATTCTAACCTCTTTTTTCCCGCCATGGAATAAAAAATAAAAAGGGTACTTGCGACTTCTTATCTCACGATTATGACTTTTCTTCGTATAATTTGAGTTTATATCTCGCGACTGAGTTTGTTTTCTCAGAATAAAGGGTAAAGATGCAAATTTTATTAATTTAATAAAGAAAAAAAATTCTAATTTTCTTGGGGAACCAGTTTTGCGAAAGAACATAAAAGCACTTAAATATAATTTTAACTCTCATCTCATATTTTTCCATTACTATGTCCGTTTAGGATCTGTTATACATAACAATGACGAAAAAAATCAGTGATTAACTTGTTTCTCTAGTTTTTGTTTGTTTGTTTCCACCACAGAATAAAAAAAAACGTTAAGTAATTGCGACACTTTCGCTCACAATTCTGACTTTTTTCTCGCAACTCAGAATCGTGAGATATAAACTCTGAATTGCGAGAAAAAAGTCTGAATTGTGAGATAAAAAAGTTGCAATTAACTTTTTATTCCGTGGCAGAAACGGGCTTCCATAATATTCAGATGTAACAGAATGTCAATCATAACTAGACTAATGAGTTGACCGGTTAATTTCACCCTCTCTGGCAGGTGATTACAGCTGCATTGATCTTATTTTCTGATTTATAAGAATTATAGCACGTTTGAATTGTGTGCGATCAACTGGACACTAGGGATGGGCGTATCGATACAAAGTATCGATATATCGATACTGACGCGAGTATCGAAAGTATCGATACTCAAACAAAAATATCGATACTAAGGTGCATTTTATTTACCAGTGGTTTTGTTTATTTAATTTATTTAATAATAATAATGCGTACAATATGCATTGAATTGGACGAATAACCTTTGTTAGTATCGAAAACAAAATAAGGGGTATCGCCCATCCCTACTGGACACTGAATAAGGGTTTATAAATATTTGAATCCCGTAACGCCACGCCCCACTGTCACATGCCACGCCCCTCGTGTTTTACCTCCAGATACAGACACGCGGCAAACGACTCGTTCACGACGATGTCTCCGTGCTTGAAAGTCGGAAGCTGCAAATAAAACGAAAAAAAAAAGTGCAATATTAAAACAAGAGTCTGGCAACTGCTCTGTCGCTGAATTACAGCTGCACAGAAAGTAAAAGCTCAATGCAATCTTAAGAAATCATACACGACACGAGTCTGTCATGCATGTGAACGCACCTGAGCTCTGGGATTGAGAGCTTTCACTTCTTCACACTTGTGTTCGTTCTTGTCAAACGACAGATGTTTGTGTTTGTATCCCTGCAGCTGCTTCTCCTCCAGCGCGATCATGACTCTCCAGCACGGCGGAGAGCCGGAGCCCCAGTACAGCAGCATGCTCTGCGCCATGACCGCTAATACCGCGTTTAATTAGGAAAAAGAGCTGTTTTTACTGTGCAAAACACCCCAGATTTAACTGCGTCACGCTGACTCTGACACGTGCCTATAAACGCTTTCACTGAGAGGGGCGGGGACTGGCAGAATGACCAATTCTTCTTTCTGTTGCCATAACTAATTCTAACTAAACCAACTTGTTTTTGTATATTATACAGATGACGACCTTTATTTCCTTTATCCCACCTCTCCTTGTTAGTGATCTCCATGAACAAATATCCTTTAGAGGAAATAATAATAATAATAACGTAAAAAATAAATTATAATACAATAAATAAAAATAATTAGAAATAAAAAATGCACAAAATAAGAACAAATAAAAATAAAACTAGATATATAAAAAACTATACTAAAATAGATACTATACTAGAAAATAAAACTATACTAAAAATAGTATAAATATAGTAAGAACAGTATAAATATAAATAAATAAAATATAATAAAATAAATGAAAACAAACAAATACAATGAAAAAAAAATAGTAATATAAATAAAATGCAATATAATAAATAAAAAATACATATAAATATAAATAACAATTAAAAATAATAAAGATGAAAAATAAACAAACAAAAACAATCAATGGAAAAATAAATACAAAATAAAAATGAATAAAATAAATAATGAAAAATAAAGAAAAACAATAAGTAAAAATAGAAAAAAGTAAACTAAACAAAATAAAATAAATGAAAAATAAAACAAAGATAAAAAAAAAAAAGAATAAAAAAGAGAAAAGAATAAAAAAAATAAAAACATGCATTAAAACAAAAATGTCCCAACGTATTCAAGTGCCTATTTAGCTTATCTGTTAACTAAATATGTTCAAACGTGATCAGTTCGTTTATTACTCTCCACGTGTGTCAGAAACACACAGATCCAATCAAACGCTGCCAGCGGTCTTATTTCAGAAAGGGTTTTATTGCAGGGTGTGACATCAAAGTGAAAAATGTAACAGTTACAAAGCTTTTCGATTCTGAAAAATGAGTTCAGATTCCATGAGCCAAAGAAAAGATTATAAAACAGAGAGTTCCGGTCCTTGATTCTGATTGGCTGAGCCGCGTACACCTTTGTTTACTTCTGTCTGTTGCTCGGCAACCACTTTGTTGCAACCACAACTGATTCTGAGGAGCTACATTGTTTGGTGGAAGAATACTGTTTTTATTAATATCATTACACTTTATTTGCTTTCTGTGAAACCGTACTACTAGCTAAGGGGGTTTTAACAGCTAACAACGCCCCTTAGCTGTTATAAATTCACTGTAAACCACGGCTTCACGGGGATTATTGCTTTAACGAAACATTACAGATGTCTCAGCAGGTAAAAACAGACGAGTGCAAGTTCTGTGTTCTGAAATAAACGGCAAGTAAATCGAAACGCAAATCTCTAAACTAAACGAAACGCTGTGCGTGGCGTTTATGGCTTCAGTTGTCGTTCTTAAATTAACAAAAACACACACGATCAGACACCAAATCTACAGAAATGACAAAAGCAAACAAAAGGGCATTAACATTTACAGTCTCGTTCATCCTCAAAAATACCATTTTGTACATTTAAAATCATTTTTGGAGACAAAATGCATCTGATGTAGAGCTCATACAAATCTTATAAAGTCTTGTTTTTTCCCATATAATAATAATAATAATGGACGTTAAACATGATGGCTCTCAACACAACACTCACAGACAATCCTGGAGAATGACGAGAGATAGTCAGTAAACTGTATACTGTTAAAGATCTCAGAAACATGAACGAGCGAGTTAGTTTGTTATTCTAGTTCCTTCTGTGTCAAAGGCACGCCGACATCTGCAATAAAACACTCGAAAGTCTCAAACAAAAGATGCTTATAAACCCAAGGACCAAAGCAAGAAACAGCAGCTCGTGTGCAGCATTTATAAACGTTATTAACCCTCATAATGCATTCAGAATCTGATACTGTTTTCATATTCTGGGCCCGTTTGGACCTGAACAATCATTATTTTATAAAACAGTCATAACTTCTTATTAATGAGTAACTGTGAAAAAAAAAAAAATCTCAGTTTTGAATGTTACTGCATTTAACCCTTTATTATTAATGAAAAAATTTAGAAAGTCTTTGATTTTTTTTAATTACACGTGAACCAGACTGAAAAAAACTGAGATGCAAAATATGTATATATTTTTTTCAATACTGATGAGAAATTTCATTTGAATATGTCATTGTATGAAATTTATAAGAACATATAATCTGAGAATTATCAGTATAAAATCCTGTGGAATGAATGAAGTCTCTTCTGCTCATCAAAGCTGCATTTATTTGATCAGAAATACAGCAGAAGCAGTAATATTGTGATATATTTTTACTATTTAAAATAACTGCTTTCTATGTGAATATGTGTTAAACTGTAATTTATTCCTGTGATTTCAAAGCTGAATTTTCAGCATCATTGCTCTTTTTTTTTTTTATAAATGTTTTTTGGGGAAAGAAATTATAGAAATTAATACTTTTATTTAGCAAGGATGCTTTAAATTGATCAAAAGTGATGATAAAAGACATTTATAATGTTACATAAGATTTCTATTTCAGATAAACTCTATCTATTCATCAAAGAAACCTGGAAAAATTATACTCCGCTGTTTTCAACTTAATAATAATAATAAATATTTTTTGAGCAGCATATTAGAATGATTTCTGAAGATCATGTGACACTGAAGACTGGAGTAATGATGCTGAAAATACAGCTGCGTATCACAGAAATAAATTACAGTTTAACATATATTCACATAGAAAACAGTTATTTTAAATAGTAAAAATATTTCACAATATTACTGCTTCTGCTGTATTTCTGATCAAATAAATGCAGGCTCGGTGAGCAGAAGAGACTTCATTAAAACACATTAAAAATCTTACTTCTTCAAAAACACGAAACAGGTTATATCTCTTAAAAAATAACTGTAAAAAATCTGAAAAAAATAAATGATGTGTATTTTGAGGGTCTTAAAGCATGTGCGAAGTTTCGTTCCCGTACTAAAAACCCTGCATTGTTTAGAAACGTTTATGTATCTCTTCCGGGTCAAAACAGACCTGAATGCGTGAAGAGGGTTAAAACATGGCAATATGACAAAAGATACAAAACTGAACTGCACTTTTAATAAATCCAACTGTGTTGATTTTAACAAAAAAAGTCACTGAGTCTGTGTGTTTTAAAGGTGTTTCACCGTCCGATAACCACATCTAGAATTGTAGGATTTAAAAAATAAACACATTTAATGTCTCTTATAAAGTTGTACCTTCATGTTGCACATTTTACAATAAATAATCCAAAGTATCAGAGCACAGTTTCACTGATCTGACTCATAAAGTGAATCAAGTGACATTTCACCATTAATAGATATAATTCAAATAGTGTTCAGTCGGAGTGAAAACATATTCTTAGCTTTCCTTTACCTGAACACGCTTCTCTAAAGGGATTGTACATCATCACAGTGGCGGCCTGTGATTGGCTGGTGAGCTGTGTATGTAATGAGGGGGCGTGGCTTAGAATCAAACACACAATGGAGGCGGAGCTTTGCTGTATTTATGATGGGTGAAAAGCTTCTGCAGCCATTTCGTGATCTAAAACATGTTTTTACTGATTCTGTTGTCCTGAGATGAGTTCTGCTGAAGGCGAACGCGTCAGTGTGCTTCGGACGTGTCCAATCCCAGCGCTTGAGCTTCTTCTGCGGTCAGACCGCCCTTCAGAGTCCTCCTCACTGAGACACAACACCAGCGTCAGTCTCTGTTTAACTCGCACACAATAAAAACTCTGTGAATTTCTAAGACTCTAAATGATGAATTTGATCAAAACACACAATCTCCTCATGTCTTCTGTCTCTGATTGGGTGTTTTACCCAGTAAAAGCTCTTTTAGTGTAATTGTTCAAGCGTTCAGCTTCAGCTGGAGCTTCTCGAGTCAAATCTTGACTGATTTTATCAAGTAAATAGCTTAGAATAACTTACGAAGAACAATAAATATCGTCGGCTCTTTGACAAATTGCTTTGTTCCTCTTTTGTAAGTTGCTGCTAAATGCATAAATGTGAATGTAACTTCTATATTGTTATAATCAAAATATTAAATTAAAATAATGTTTTTTTTTTATTTGTTTTTTTTGTGTCAGATTATTGATGATTTTGATGTTTTTATTGATTTTGATGTTTTTATTATTATTATTTATAATTGTTTTATTTTGATCATATTTATTTTCAAATAATGTATTTATGATTTAAGTGTTTGACTAACTTTAACATTATTTTATTTTTAAAATTTGTATGACGTGTTATGTGTTTTTATTTTATTTATTTTGTATTATTTTTATTTAACATGTTTGTGGTTTTATTACATTTTTGACTTTTTTTTTTCATCACCTTTTATATTGTTAGTAATATTTCCAGATGAACACTTACATAAAACTAATTAATTCGAAAAAAAACTAAACAAAAGAACAATCAAAATAAAACACGGAGATTCAAATAAATCATAAAAATGTCAAATTAAAATGAATAATGTTAAATTAAAAACAATCGAAATAAAGCACTTAGTAAACATTTATAATATCATAAAAGTTAATAATTAAAATAAATAAATTATTTAAAAATAAAAATGGATCAGGATAAATAAACAAATTAGAATAATTTTTTTTAATGATTTTTATTATTAATTATTATTTTATTATTTATTTTAACTAAGTGTTTTTTATTTTAGATTTTTGTTTTTATTTTACCATTATTTATTTAAATTTTTTACGATGGACTGAAGCAGCTCAGCTTTACTTGATTCTCCATCAATCATGTTTTAGAGTCTCAAATCTGATCCTCAGGATCTTTTGAGGAGCGTTTGTTTCCAGAAGCTTTACTTTCACTGTTCCTCATCATTAATATCAGCATCTGATGCAAATTCATATTTTTGCTCAGTTTGAGTCTCTGAATAAAATTGAGCTGTTTTTTCTTTAATATTCTCACTCTATCAGTCTATATGGGCCATAAAAGCCTGATGGAGCAAATATGATTTCCTTCTATAACTCTTCAATTTCTGAAAATTCTATTTTTCTGACTATTATTTCATTGGTCAGGCTTTACAGTGTTAAGAGACAGAATTTGCTGATGAACGTACATGACTTGCGGTTTGCGCGAGAGCGGCGTCGTTCGCGGGGCTGCGCTCGTTCTCTGGGACTCTGAGTGATCTTTTGAGGAGCGTTTGTTTCCAGAAGCTTTACTTTCACTGTTCCTCATCATTAATATCAGCATCTGATGCAAATTCATATTTTTGCTCAGTTTGAGTCTCTGAATAAAATTGAGCTGTTTTTTCTTTAATATTCTCACTCTATCAGTCTATATGGGCCATAAAAGCCTGATGGAGCAAATATGATTTCCTTCTATAACTCTTCAATTTCTGAAAATTCTATTTTTCTGACTATTATTTCATTGGTCAGGCTTTACAGTGTTAAGAGACAGAATTTGCTGATGAACGTACATGACTTGCGGTTTGCGCGAGAGCGGCGTCGTTCGCGGGGCTGCGCTCGTTCTCTGGGACTCTGAGTGGCGGATCGTACGATTCTCTCCATGATGTCGTCTGCAGCTTCGTCCGTCGCACACTGAGACTCTTCGTTCCCTGCGGCCCAAGCGCTGCGGCCTGTAGAGACACACACACACGAGGATGTTAGACCGCTTCACCTGAATGAGTTTCTACATATGAACACTGATCACTGATGTGTGTGTGTGAGTGAGTGAGTGTGAGTGTGAGTGTGTGTGTGAGTGTGTGAGTGAGTGTGTGTGAGTGAGTGTGTGA